TAATTTGTGAATTTTAGCTATTCAAATAATCACAGCGAGCAGGTTAAAAATGTATCAGATGAATAATTTAGATTTTTGCCTGAACTCAAATTTACAAAATGTTGTCTGCATTACTTTTAAATAGCTGATATTATTAAAAGCCCCACAGAAACAGCCAACTTAGATTCAACTTTCATAACGAATTGTATGTTGGCATGGTGACCTTAAAGCTACACCAACTGACTGGGAAAATACTGGATTGAAATGTTCAACCCGTCAGGGCTGATTAGCCTAAAACTCTACCATTCCCAGTCATAGTTAAAATTTTGACTCCATCTCCACTAAACTCAACTGTATTTATTTTGATAAAAATATGCAGTAAAGCAATAAATAGACATAAATTAAGAAAGAATTCTTGTTTAGCACAAAGTTTAACAACTAACATAAAAATGCTGGGTAATAAACATCCTTTGGACACTAATAAATAATAACTGAAGAGATCAAATATGAATTAACGGTGAGAAACTTTTACCTTCACCCTGAACATTGCATGCTTGTAAAAAAAAAAAAAGCCCTGTATATAAACACCAACTGAATTATGCATCTTGACATTTACTAACGACAGCAATTTTATAAACACAAAGGCAAAAAGGTTGTAGCTTTAGACCAAAACGCATCAATTCCCTTATTTAAAGAGCTGTTAACATCCCTGAAGGTATTTGAAAGTCCATCTAAATTAGTGTGCACAAGCCAAATCCTTCCTTAGCTTGCCTTTAGTTGGTGTGTGGCCATGAGATGATGGCAGCCTTACAAAGCCAACATAATCCTCCTGTCCTGGACTAATCTAATGCCTCAGACCTCTAAACAAACATGGTTAAACTCCCTTGTTCCACTGTGGGGGTTTTTTCATATCCAACCCAACGCAGAACAGGTTCTGTACTGCAAAAAAATCACCGCTGAGCAAGTTGGGGAGGGAAATTCCACATTTGAGGAAATGTATATTTCATGAGCGAAGACTTTTGAAAAGGCAACTGAGAAAAAGGCAGAAAGCCATTATGCCATCACTTTTACATTCAGTTCCCAACAGCTTGTTTGTCGCCAACGTTAAACTGTCGAATAAGACAGGGATTCGCTCGAGTTGCGTCGCTTGCATTCGACGCCGAGTGCTAAATTTCTCCTCACATCTGATGGCTCTGTTAGACTCATAAAAATGTGTCTGGCAAATTACTACAAAAGCAAAGCTCCCCAACACCTTCGTCACGACGAGCACACATTACTTCTAAAAAAATAAAAAATAAAAAATAAAAAGATATCTGCTGAACAGAAATTGAAAAGATAGTTGGATAAAAACAAAGCTGCTCTCTGGAGGCTGATAAAAATATGATGAGCCACAGCCAACGGGAAGCACCAGACCTTCTACATGAATGAATTCAATTTTAGGGCAAATCCTCTGGGCCTCATGTTGGGATATTACCATCTTTCGTATTGATTCTAGTATGACAAGAGAGGAGGAATGCGTAATAAATCTGAAGATGAAGCACCCTTGTAAGTAGAAAATCAATGACAGACAAGTTGGTAAAGAACGCATACAGATTAACCACTCCTAAAGCTTCTGCAAACAGCTTTAATCATTACAGGTACAACTACTAAATGACACTCATTCCTGTAAAGCTGTTGTGTTGCTCTTCACACTAAAAGCTGTTTATTTGGTCAGATGACTCACTGCAATTGATATGCTCTGCACTTTGCAGTTGAGAGATCTCAGATTTATCAATTATTTATGCTTTTTATGTTCTTAAAGCCGTGTGGATCTCTACTGAGGCGGCGTTTTCTGTATGTCGCAGAAAATTGTTTTCTGAACGACACAAATTCTGATCTCCGCAAAGAAAAAAAAAAAAGCGAAAGCTAAAACTAAACCACGGGTCTGGTGCTGACTGACTGCTTTGCCAAGTTCTGCCAATGTGTTACCAAGACTGGTTAAACGCTCGCCGCACATCAGCTCTGCGTGACACACAGCATGACAGGGTGTGAACAATTCTTTTACGTTTTTTTTTTTGGTCCAGCAGGACCAGCCAACAGACTAAACATATAGCCGTGTGTAATTATGTTATTAGTCAACAATGCAGCGAGCTCAGTGAGAACAATTAAACTTCTCAACGTTCCTTTTATTGCTTTGGGAGCTTGTGGATTTATATACACAAACAAGAAACCACTCACTCAAACAGAAAAAAAATACACTTTCACACTTTGTGTTCTCCATGAATGGCTTGGGTGTATGATGAAACTCCTTGGCTAAGTGATGGCTCTTCTTTTACGGCAGGCATTTCAAACGTTTTACGGATCTTTTTATGAAGACATTTCTTGAAAACAGTCATTTAATAGTTTTGCAGTCTTGTAATTTTTTTTTTTACTGTGTGTCAGGCAGCAAAAAAACAGAAACATACAACAGATACCCTTTTTGATTATACAATTGTTTTGAATACTCTAACTCTATTTCAAGGAACTCAGGTAATGGGAGTTCAGTAGATAATATCTACTACAGAGTTTCCCACAGAAAACCTGCTAAGCCCGGTGAAAGGGATGCTAGGGGAGTCCACCAGTGTGCCAAAAAATGTTTCTAGTTACAACAATTCAGAGATACAAAAGCAGGCATCATAAATTGGTAAGAGTGTGTGAGGGCAACAGGGTGGTGACAGGACGGCACAATTGGTTCGAGCCCCCTCACACCCAGTTCAACTATAAACCTAGCTTAATCCGTCTTTGCTGTCTCTGGTGTAAAAAGCACCTTATTTAAAACAAACAACGCTAAGCTTGGTGGAGAGGCAAATAAAGCCTGGTGGCCCGCCAGGTTTATAGTACACTGAGGGGAAACATGTTCCAATAAGAGGTCCATCAGTTATTTTGGTTTCATCAGTGAGAGTAAATCATATTTCCATCATTTAACATGTAACAACAGTGATAACAATAAGGTTCTCAATAATATAACAAAAAAAAAATTCTGACATACCTAAGCTTTGACCATTTTTATGATTCTTCATTATAAATATAATTAAGAAACAGAGATATGGGAGAAATAAGTTGATGCATAAATGTTAGGCAATTACATAGTTAAGACATGTTTTGTTTACAGTTACAAAATGGGAACACATGGATACAATAAGCATATGGAAAACTAATATCTCAAAATGGCAAATAGATAAATTCACCAAGAACCTGTGCAAACAATGTTATATTTAAAAGGAATTTTCTGGAAAAAAAACAAAAACAAAGATTAAACTCAACTTCTGTGTTGACCGGACTTTATTGTGTTGTAATTAGGGGCTGGTTATTTAGTCCCTTTCCCATTTTAAACTTTCTACAGAATCCATAATTTCCTATCCAACTTTTTTGGGTACAATTAGTTATTTTGTTATAAAAAGCCTACTGGGCTTGTCAATTCAAACTCACATTAGAGATGTTTTCTTTCGTGTTTTAGCGACTGCTGACTAAGTAATTTCTTATCAACTCTTATCTTATGCGACTTCAATAAACAATGTCTAATAGCTGGAGGTCATTTAAACCATTACTCATGCCAAAGGTCATATACAAAATGGCGGTGTGTGGGTTTGAAATGGGGTAGAAACTGGTGGAGGAGAGAACCGAGCTAGAGGCCATAAACACAGTACGCCATTATATCCTCTCCAAATAACACAAACAGAAATCTTCTTTGGAAATAAACAGCATTTGAGGTGTTAATATGGTATTATTTAGTCCTGGTTGTTTCATGCTCAACGTTTGGGGGTGTGAACTGAACCCACTTCCTGCGAGATGTTTTGTACCAACCATGTGTCAATTCCTACCCCATAGGGAGACATCTTGTACTGGCTTTGACGACTGCCAATTTAAAATAATGTCCTTCACTCCTCTGCAAGCAAGAAGTAGGAATGTGACACCAATAAACAATATCTACCAGCCAGAGGTGGGTTAGACTTTTTGTGCTTAAATCAAAACCCCTAAATGATCAAATTTCAGGGTCAACTCAAGCAGCCCAAAATGGGCATCAGAACAACAACAACAAAAAATCCTACCTCCATGCATCATTACAAGTAAATAAAGCAGTCTGCAAAGGTTTGACAAGAACAACTGGTAAGTGACAAAACAGAGAAATATAGATATGAAATGGGTGACAACCTGGGTGAAGGACTAAACAGAACTTAGAGAAGTATATTAAAGCAGCTTACTTAAGTTTTTGATGTGGACAAGGTGTTATGGTGGTTTAGTTCATGCAGCAGGTCAAAACTCTAACACAGTGATTAACTTCCTCCACTCCCAAACACTCAAGTCACCAAAAGAAGATTGTCCTACATGTCCAAATGCATTTATTTAACCGCTCGCCACCATTTTGTGGCATTTAAAGTTTCATCAATAAAGACTTTATTTGAAGACATAACCAATGCCAGAAGGAACCCATGTTCACACTGCTCTTACAGCTGGCCCAGTTAAAGAAAGGAAACATGTGGAGAGAGTATATGAAGCCTTTCATTTTCAGTTTTTCTGTGGGTCCATTCCACTCAGGACCCCGTGGGGTCCCACGGTTCTTACTCTGTCCTGCTAATGTTTCACCACAAGTGTTTCCACACATCCAGAGGAGCAACGTGAGTGCACTCAGACATGTGTTTTTTTTTCTTCTTTTTTACAGTTAATAAACGTTATTGTCCCCAGAGGGGGGATAACTGACTGTAGCTCCCCCAGCTAAAGAAATGTAGTTAGCAGTTACCCAAATGTAGCAGCTCATTTCAGCTAATTACAGGACAGCTGAAAGCCTAAAAAGCAAGCAGAACTGAGTTAGCTTGGCGTAATGAGCTAACTACCGTGAGAGTAAGGTTAGCAGGCTGGCACAGTAACACAATGAGCTCAGAGTGCAGTCAGCCCTGGCTAGCTGCTGCATGCTGTGTTCCAGCTAGCCTCCTAACGTTAAATGGCTAACGAGTCGTAGCAATGTTAACAATGACAGAAAAGGTTTAAAAATGGGACAAACTTACCGACTTAACTAAACAATCCTATTCCAAACCGCTCTCCGTCCATGGCGGTGTGCGCTCCGTGTAAAGAATAAATCAACGTGCAGGCGACTGAGTTGCAGTAAAACCTCTAAATACAATCTGAAGCTCTAGTAGAAACCAGTGGCAGCGCACTCCCCCAGACACCCAACACAAGAGAGGAGGGGAGGCCAGCGATTCACTGGACTTCTGCCATCACACTTCGAGACACCGTCCACAGCGAAAACAGCCGAGTCCCAGGCGCATTTTCACCGCTGCCTTCCCGAGCCCCAAGCGAAGCGGTTCTTCGGTCGCAGCCTTCTGCAAATGAATTCCACAGTGAACGGCTTTCCATCCAGGTTAATTCCTCCGTGTTCGCCCGTTTGTGAAAGAGAGCATCGCGTTTGCTTCTTCGTGTGGGAACCGATACAATGTAGTCAAGCAGCAGGCAAGCAGCAGCAGCAGCAGCAGCGGGAGCGACTAGGAAACCCAGGAGAGGAGAGCCGGATTGAACTGTTACACTCTCCCCACAGCTCCTCGGAGCGAAAGGAAAAGGTGGAACTGGATCAACCGGACTGCGATTTGACGAGCCGGTTTTTCAATGGGGAAACGTCCACCATTTGATCCCAGCAGCAGCAACCATGAGTTGACACACACAGAGGCGTTTGTGTGGTGGTGTCTGGGGGATGGAGGTGGGCTTTTAGAAGTACCGGGGTCACAAGTTCAAGTTGCCTCAATCCTCAGTTTTGAATTTGTTTCATACCTCTGACCCACAAGGTCAACAATGTCACTCAGCGTGAAAGTTGTATGTTTTTTTTTTACCCTAGGTATTTGGAACAACAATCACAAACATTAGATAAAATGTCACAAAAACTGACTGACATCACTTGATTAGGCCTATTAAACTAGAGACTGTGGCACATAAACATTAATGCCCATTTTTTCCTTGATTGCCACTGACCGGTCAAATTCTGATTTCCATAAATAATCAAAATACTTAACTACCAGCAGCAATAAATGGATATGTGATGGCTAGATGGATGCAACATAGTTTGTTTGCTGCTATAACAGAGTTAGTGTAGCAAGTTATTTTATTATTAGCCATTATGATGCTGACCTGTTGGCTGTTCTTTCACTCGGTGATTTGTTCATTAAATATTCCTCAAAAAAATGAAAATAGACATTTATATATGCAGTAATATTCTTCAAAAGATTTGGCACATCATTCAATTCTCAAATTAACACCTGGAACCAAATTAAAGGAAATGGGTGCTACATGTTGATGAAAGAATATTATGTCTACTTCATATCTATTTGATGAGCAAAATCAATAAAAACACCCAAAGTATTGCTTATTATGCATATTGCATATCATTATCAGCTGTAGTTTTTTTAAATAGTACTTTTTTCCATTTTACACCAATAACAGAGTCGTGCATAGAAATTTTAGGGGATGCAGGTGCTCAAGAATAAAAAGAAAAAAAGGTACCTTGTGTGACACAAGGAACCACTTTAGCACGAGATTTATATAATACACACATAGTACACTGTAAAAATAAAAATGAAAAATCAGAAGGGCACTTATAACTTAATAAGACATGACATTATGAGCCTTTGAAATATTTAAACTGGCAAAAACTTGTAGATTATCGGCAGGTGTCACTGGCTGCTAATCTGTATGCACACGGATGAATATAGGGATTTCTTTGCCAGTAGTCAGCTGTTAGGTGTTTTAATTAAAACATTGCTCTTGTTGACCTTTTCCATGCAAGTTAAAGCAGCCCATTGGACTGAAGAACTTACATCATAATGATAAATTGAGTGTCACGCTGGAGGCAGGGAAACGACAAATTCATCATCCTGCTTCTCTCATCAATGGGTCCGAATTAAAAAACAAACAAACAAAAAAACAAGACCAACAAAAAAGATAAGGCAGCTTAAAGATTTTGAAAGTTCTTATGTTTTATTAGGAAGCTTGATGGATGTCATCCCATTTGATTTGGAGATGAATAACTAGAACGACACGTGGAAGGTGTCTGAAACTCGGACTACACAACGGAAATCAATGCCGAGGTCAGAACTTGATAAAACAAACTGGACCCGTTACAGTCCTATCTGAATTTAGCCGTGTTCTCAGTTCCAGCAAAAATAAATCTTTTAGCAAATAACCAAAGGGGAGTACGGGTAGGAGGCTCTTGGGGGGGGGGCGCACGAGTCATAGAGCATCATGCCAACAATAAGATCCTTCCAGATCTGTCACAGTTTCAGCTCTCATAGCTCTACAGATAACCTTTCATGTTTACGAGCTTCAAACGCTGCAAACGGCTTTAAGTCGTTGTCTTGCTCGGCGCCGGTTTCCCTGGCAACAAGGATATGATAATGTTGCCTTTGACATGACAGAAGGAATCATCTCGCTAACAAACAGAGACAACAGGCGCAGGGAGGGCTCCGGGAGAGGAAGGGGAGGGGGCTGAATTAATGGACTCATTTTCACACAGAGGGAGACACAGCAGCAGCAGCGGCAGCGGCAGCAGCAGCGGCAGCGGCTACTCGCCATCCTCCATCTTCCTCTATTGCCTTCGATGCATTCCTGCTGGCAGGCACACTCTGGCTTTCCCAAGGGAACAGCCAGCCTCCATTGGCAGGCTAAATAACAGTCAGTGGCCGGCAGGGACCAAGAGGGGACAGAAATCTGATGATGGCTGCCCTTCAAGGCTGCGGCTCCAAAACCGAGCATGAGCGTCATGCCATCTAAAACCTGAAATGAACAAGCTGCATGGACGCCATGTGTTTTCCATCAGTGAAAAAAAAAAAAAGGGGGCTAATCAGCCAGCCATGTGGAATCACAGAGGGGTTGGCTCGCTTCATGTGATCTTCTTTCCATTACTCCATAAAAGAGACTGTAAAACCTTGAAGCCCATCTGAAAGAGACTTATCTCCAGTACTTTTGAAAATAAAAAATAAAAAAATAAAAAATGTGTCAAGTAACTGTCTCAAAGCATGTTCGTAGACGGCAGGGGGGAAAGAAAAAAAAAATCCTCCTTTTCCTAGACTAGATGTAGAGCACTGAAGACGTGAGTTAAGAGTGCGTCGTTTCAGGAACTTAACTGCTGCGGTTCAGACTAAAGTGTTCCGCCGTATTCTGTCTGACCTTAAATTTATTCCTCCTACTCCACCGCAGGATTAACTTGTTTTTGTCTGAGGTGAAATTTAGTCACCAGAGCTGTCATTTTCTGCTCCTTGCAACTGCAGAAACATGGCATGTGATGTCAGCACGTCTATGTTCTTCTCGGTAAAGTTAGGTCAAGCCTTTTGTCGGCGTTATGAACCGGGAAGCAGGTCCAGGCTCTGGTGTGTGAGCCATCTGACATTACACTGATTGTTCATTACATGTGATTTTCCACCAATCTGGTTCCAATGGCTTTGGTACCAAAAAAAAAAAAAAGATACTAACTGGGCCACAGCAAAAAACCCGTTTACAAGAGGTGAGTTTTAAGAAAATCAACAACTATAAAGCTTTGAAAGCTTTGAATGCATAAAATGGTTTAAAAAAGTTAAAGCTTCAGAACTGCAACACTTTTTAGCTACAAGAATACAAGTATGTCTGGAGTGTCTGCAGCTTGCCTGACTAATTAATGGGCTATTATTAGCTTCTTGTACTTGTTGTGCATGAATGTCGAAAAGCATTTGACAGCTACGTAATGTTTTTGCTTCAGTCAGTGAAATAAAATCTAAATGGCAATAAATGACTAATAATCAATGCGTCATGTTTCATTAGCAGGAGCGATGGCATACAAGATAAATGCTTGGCGTAGTATGGTGAGCTTTTTTGAGCTTCACATGATGTCATCATGTTAGAATGTTGTTCCCTTGTCAAAAACGTAGCTGGAGTATCGCTCTGATTCTCTCCATGCACGTTTGAGAAATCCTTGAATCTCCTGTGGCAACCATTCGAGGGTGCCAAAAATGTTTGCTCTCACAAAGCGCCACCTATTTCCACAAATCCATCTGACAGAGCACCTCTCCTCCATATCTCTCCACTAAGCTCCTCCAGACTAGCAGCAGCTGCAATTAGCAAACACCGGGTGGAAATGCATGTATGCTGAGCTTATCATACAAATTACTTCTCACTGTAATGCTCCTAAGAACGACCGTTAACTGAGAGGCACTGTTGTGACGACAAGCTGAAAGCAGGAGCTTCTTAAAGAGACAGAGGTCCAATATCAAGGCGTCAAATTAGGAAGTCAGATTTCTTTTAAGTTATGTTTTGATATGCGCAGCACTTCTAACAACTGAAGGTAAAACAGTTACTTGATCGTGCTATGAAATGGCACATGTCTGAAAAGAACATGGTACTGTCTCTTTTAATAGCTAAGTTTCATCTTATCATTAAGGTGATATGACGAAACTGTAATGTTTTGATCAAGGTTGTAGACTTCTTCAAACTAATTTTCTTTTTTTTTTATCAGCATAATTTGAGACAAAACTATGAAAACAGAGCTTTCACAAATAAATACCACTAGCTAGCTCTCATTTTCCCACTTTTTAATGTTAACCCTTCAGTAAAGTGCACAAAGTTATTTTCACCCCCATATATATATATATATATATATATATATATATATATATATATATATATATATAAACATAAACATTCTTATATCACAAAGTGGTGTCTATAAATCCTCCTTAAAACACTGTGTTATGTCCCATTTGCAGATATTCTTTTAAAGAAATGCCAATCAGACGGGAATTGCCCGTCTGCAGAGAACAGACTATTAGAGATGCAGACTGTTTAAAGCAACATTTATAAATTAGACTGGTGAGAGAGTAAGCCATCAATCTGAAGTGATAACAAGACAATTACAGGAATTTGCTGTCTCTCTGCACTTTGAGGGTCTAGAGAAATACAGAATGCAACAGAGGGAGGATGAGACTTGTGAAAGAGATATTTTAAGTGATGTAACGACCTGGCTCCATGTTCATGATGGCGCTCTGGCGGTGAAAAGTAAAATTAGCTCGTTGGCAATTTTTCCACAAAATCAGTCAAGAACTGATTTTAGCACTAGTAAACTTTTAGTACTCTCCCCCCCTCAAGTAAACACGACTAGTCAGAGTTATAGTAGTCAGAGTAAAAATATAACACAGTGTAAGAAATAAATCTGCACTTTCAAAACCTAAATGGAAAAAAAAAAAAAAAATCAACGTCCTCAAGCCTAAAGAAATTCTAGTTTTATGAGTAATCTTTTCTCTCTCTTTTTTTCCAGCTGGAGATAATGTGAACTTTATATTTAACCACGAAAAAAAAAACAAACATTTAGTTAACATGTTTTAGAAAAGAAATGCGAAATGTAGGATTTGCAAGTTGCGTAACAGGAATTCGCTTTTCTCTTACAGTAAAGGGCCTTTTGATTAGGTCTACGGTTTACTGCGGTTTAAAATATATACGAGTAACATATAAATTGTAGTTATACAAGACGGATTTTTATGTCAACTTTTCCAAAAATAAGAAAAATAAAAAATACCTGGGAAGCTAACCGTCAAATGGCGCAAGAGCTTACACGCCCTCGAAACTAAACTTTAACAGCTTCAATTATGCCTCGTCTATATTTTCACTCCATACTCGTCTTCTTCAGCTGAACATCG